CACTGTAGAAACCAATTCAACTCATTTTCCTCCCTTCTCAGTAAAAATAAATCTATTTCTAGTAGTTTTGTGCCATGTCAAATCTAGTCTTTCAATTTATATAATATGTGAGTATGCATTTTAAAATAATATTTATTTTAATTTTAAAATGATAATCTATATATTAAAATGTTCGTGAATGTATTTGAAATATAAGAGACAATTTTAAACAATTTTATCTCTAAGCTAATTTCATATTAAATATAGAATATTGATTGATTATTGTTCAATTTTTACGTACCTCGTCGATGATCTCAATCATATATAACTCATGAAATCCTACTGCTTACTTATTATTTGTTATACAGGTAGTACAATGTATTATGTAACTACTAAATATCTAAGAAGTTAAAGATCTGTTGATATTTTTCTGAAAATATGTTAAACATCATGAGATACGATCAAACTGATTTAGTAGGTTTATACTTTCCTATCGACTATTTAAAGATCAACCCAAAAATACAGCATTAATGCATTATGCTATTAAACAGAGGGTATAAAATAAATCAACATTTGTTAATTTATTAGATTATAGTATAATTCTTTTTCCATATGTTTTTTGAAAAATTGTCATAAAAATAATTGATTTCTCTTAAAATGATTTGTTTTTAAGTAAGAGATAATTTTCGAAATATTCATTTTTAAACTTTTACCCAAAAATTGTAACAACAATCTACAAGTATATTTTTGCATGTTTGATATTCATTTGATATATAACAACATAAAGAAAACAAATTTAATAATCAATACTAGTTATGAAGAATTTGCGTGCGTATAAGCTAGTTGCTACCGGAATGAATAAAGGAGGAATTTATTCGAGGTATACGACCTATCGTCCAGCGATTGCCGATGGCGATCAAGTATGTTGATCAATTATTAGGTATAACGTGCCAAATTGATACGTGACTAAGAAACAGTTGAATGTCCATCAAAATTATTAAAACTTTTCATACATATTATATTGTATACCTTGAATGATGCTGATTCTGCATAACATTTATGTTCTATACTATTTTTAATCATTATATTTTAATAGAAAACTGTACAAAACAGCTGTAATTTCGTTTATAGACCATTTATGATGAGTAAAAAACTAAAGAACCAAGTTTGTAAACAAAAAATATACTAAACAACCATAGTTAAACAATATGATAAAATCTAAAAATATACAAAGAATATTTCAATTAATATTTTTAGTTTTAGTTTTATATTTAAACTGCATAATTAGATTATAAATGGATCATGAAAAACAATGTATTTAAAATATCAAATTTTATGATTTCAATATAATATATTATAGGTACTCTAAAAATCGTACGTAGTCCAAGTACGTAGTTTTATTTTCTGTTGGAAACAATAGCATTAATTTCAATATAAAATATTATTAAATGAAGATTTTAAGATTTAACAATCAAATAATTTCAAAATAAAGCATTTTATCGATAATTTCATTTAATGGAATGTATTATTTTTTATTTAACTAAAAAACTACACATACTTATAACTGAAATCGTTTTTATTTTAAAAAATATTTAACGATGACTACTAAGATTGCAACAAAATCACACGGCGAGTGAACACGTTGTTTCGATTTCGGATACGACTATTAAAAGTTGTTTATTATGTCCCTAAACAGTCGAAAAATGATAGTCACGATTTTCAAAAATATAAAACATAAGACACTGTTATTATTATTATTATCATCATCATCGATGCAATTACCGAACGTAGAAGTTGCCTACTGTATGATAGATGAATGACGAAATATATGAAGGTGTCGAACGGCATTACCCTTGAGCGATTGTCTGCCATTTATTCGGCCAGCCGAATCAAAAAACCGTTTGTGGCCAGTTAATCGGACGCGATTATTCATTGTCTATAATAATTGGGAAAAGCAAATAAATGTGATCGGTTTTGGAGGCAGACAAAGAGGGAAAAATACCAAGAGTAAAAAGAGGGAGGTGAAAAAATGTGGAATGAAAAATATATAAATATATATTATAATAATGACGAGAGATTCCCATGTACGGATGGCCTATCAATCAGCACATCTAAACCGTAATTAACATCAGGTAGGGCGTGTAATTTTTTTACTATTTTTCTCTCGCACTATATCTTATATCTGTGTTTTGTTTTATAAACACATATATCCTTTCTTCTTTATTTCTGATCAATCCGGAACAATATTTTATACGACTTAACTCGAGTGGGCGTAACGTATAGTCGATCAGTCAATACAGAAAATAACATTTATTCAGAACAAAAGACCGAGTAATTCTTATTGGCTAAAAGGATACCTAATAGAATACATTATTTTACTATATATGATAGTATATGTACATTATTCCATGGTAACCAAAATCGTTTAACAAGTATACACGTGTATCCGGATATTCTAAGTATGCCCATCCAATTATTTAATTTTTGATTGATTAATAATGCCAGATAATAGATATGCGTCACGACAGAGTTTAAAAAATTAAATCTGATCAATCTTATTTTTAATAAGAAAATATAAGATATTTAAAGGTCAAACAAGTTTACAGTTCCGAGACACGCACATGAGTGAGACTATTTATTAAATACATATTAGGTATATTTTATATAATTATCAACAGCGATAAATATTTTTTATAAAACCAAATGTTAATCGTAGGTACCTAGCTGATACTTAACTACATATTAAAAATTGAATAAGTTACTATCCATTCTATGTATAAATCAGTATTTTTCAAATTTTTTTAAATATTTATTATTATAAATATTTATATCTATATATAGGTATTTTAGTTTTCAAAGAATAAAAATCGATGATTAAACCTTTAGGTAGATCTATATAATAGTCGTTGGATTTTGTTTTTATTTACTTTAATATAGCTTTATGCATTATGTAATTAAATATGATTATAAAACAAATTCTCTCACTACTAAACATTAGTGATCTGTAAAAAATATGAATCCGTCAGAATATGTGTTGTATACTCATACGTAAAAAAAACAATATTCAACACTTCTTTTCTTTTCTCGTCACCCTATAATATATTAATTCAGTCTGCGGAGAGGAGTTCGGTCTGTATCGTTTCGTTAATCCGCATATATTTTAAGCAGTACCTAGTCCTACACAATATAATCACCCTCAGTTGTTATTATAATGATTATATTCAACGTGTTTATACCTAATTAATGCGTGTTTTATGATTGCATATATTTATTATTTTCATCCCGCGTCTTTGACGTAATTTGTATTTTTTAAATTCCAGACTCTCCCTCCACCCCTGTACACCCATGTAGATTTGGACGAAGGCACTATCGTCACGGTGTTTGGTCATCTTGGGACTCGGGTTGGACGTCGACGGTATTATAGACGGTCGCATATGTCGCGCGATGAGAACTCGCGCCGGTCTCGCGTGGACCGGCCGGCGACGACGTGACTTGATAATACGGCGGCAGGTGCGTGGCACTCATAATAATAATAATAATATTATATACCTTTAACCTACCGTCATCACGTCGACGTGAAGATGACAAATCGGTTGACATGCGATCGAAATCCGTCTCTCACGGCATAAAATATTCTCACCCGGTAGTGGTATTGTCCACCGGCCGCGCGCCGCTCTTATTAATTTCGCCGTCTCTTGTGACCAATTCAACAGGTGTGCGTATATATTTGTCATTCATTCATTTCCCTTTTTTTCTCTCATCGTATTTTTTCGGCTATTTGTTTCATTATACGTATCTCATACACACATACATAATTTACTGATTGTGGTCTTTTGTGTATGACCGAGTGTCGTCGACCTCCATGAGAAAGGACATCTACACTCGCACATCTACCGGTGACAATGTGTCGTGTGTTTGACGAGAATTATTATATTAAGTACATGTAAAAAAAAGATATTTATCCTCCCCCACGAAAGTAAAAATTTATCAATATAGACTATGGGAAATCATCACGAAATGTTTTTAATTTGCATATTTTTTTTTTTAGTACCGAGAAAACATTGTTTACTCCATTGCCCACATCTATTACTATATTATATGCGTTATGCACCTATGATGAGTGTTTAATAAAGATTGAAATAAATCCTGTTACCAAACTCTTTATTGTGACAAAAAATAACTTAGTGACTTCAGTAGGTTTGCTATTTTAATGTTTATTATTTCATAGGTAGATAAATGATAAATTATTAAAAAGAAACCTATGTATGACTTTTAAATATTATGTTAAATTTAAAACGATAAAAATCTAATTCAGATGTTAAAATAGTACGATGAGTATACAGTATTTTGATTAAAATTACAATTTTATCCTCACTAAAAAGAAAGCGGAGAAATAAATACCGATTCAGTTTTCGAGTATACCTATTATATAGTACCTAGTTTGTAATTTTAATGGATGTGTTAAATTTGAATTCAATGATAAATCATTGTATACGAAATATGATTGCGAGCGGAGACGGTGTGTTAACCATACTTGTATAAATAATCAAATTTCATATTTGAAAAAAAAAAGTAATAATAAAAATCAAAAATATCTCTTGGCAATAAATATTGCTATTTTTTTAAGCTATTTTTTTCATTTTTTTTGTTCAAGGTAGAAAAACGTGTGGGGAATATTCTATTAAATTTCCAAACATTATTAAGTAAAACAACATTTTTATAATTTTATAACTAAAAAATAATGTCATGGACAATAATAGCTCAAAAAGATTCTAAATATTTTTAAAATGTTATCGTATATGAAAAATATAGTCATTCTAAAACCTGGTGAAAATTTTGTTATTTTTATGGTTATTAGTTTTGACATTTCTTAACGCATTCGAAAACTACTGAGAATTTTCAATCTTGATGTCCCGAATACACCAGTTAAATTCACCTTACTATCAGAAAATATGCTGATTTCAAAAATCTGAGCTTTTACTACTCCAAATATTGATGACAGATAGAAAAAAATAACATACCTGTCTAAACTGTTCTTCAAAAGTCCACGATTGTGCTTCACCCTTTCTGGCTAACAAAGATGATTCGTTTTCCTGTGTATATTCATGACCAAGAGGTGTGTCACCTGATCGGCTAGATCCTGGTGGTGATTCTATATTGGCTGGTCGTCTAGAGGGTATTGGCATGACGATCTGATCAGACATAGGCATCCCATTAGGATGACGATAAACCAAATGTTGTATCATAGACGCTGTGTGACCTCCCATCAGTCCGTGTGGCGCACTTGCCAAACGACGAGCCAACTGATTTAGGGTTTCTCGTTCTTCTCTCTGAAATCAAAACATGTAAATTAATATGATATGCCTGCTTTTACAAGACTACAGATAAAACAAAAAGTTTGTAAGCCACAGGGCCACAGGGGTTATTAAATTCAGGACTTATACACATTTAGTAGTTTAAGTTTTTCAACTTTCTAGAATGTAAGATTTCTAAGTACCTATAGTTATTTATTGTTGGATGAGTCATTTACAATAGGAAACTAATTAATGAAATTATACCTGCATTTCCAGGATATCCGGTTCTTCTTCCGGTGAACAATCATCATCCACTCTTCTGCGGTCGTCCTCGTCCTCGTCATCAGTACCTTTAGGTGATTGCATCCAATGATATGATTGAGGCTGCACGCTCAAATTCAAATTTAAGCCAAGTCTTGCACTATCTGTGGCATCCATTGTCATTTTCATACAGTCAATTGGCAAATCGGTACTTAACTAAATAACAGTGAGTATAATATTATAAATACATTTATGATTAAAAAAAAATATGGGTATTAATAAAACTAATATTATTAATTAATTCATTATAACATTATATTGGAAACTAATAATTAATAGTCCCACCTTTATACTTAGAACATATTAAGGTATTATTCCATTAAATCGTTAGACCCCTCATTTTATTTATAAATGATCATAGGTAGTTAGTAAATGTTATTACTGCAGTAATAATTTATAGTAAATTTATAAAATTTATAAAATATTATATAAAATACTTATTATATAAAATATTTATAAAATACCTTTACGTATAACGTTTAAAATTAGGTCTTCTACGAATCTAAATATTTCTTATGCCTATTATAATAATTATAAACATGAAGAACAGCGAGCAAAATATAAAAAAATGAACAATATAAAAAAAGCGGGTAAATAGTGACTAGTGGATGTCGCTGTTTTGTACAGTAGGTGACAAGTGGGTGACAGTAATGGATGGAATTAAACTTGAATCCAATGATTTTATATCATTGTATACGAAAAACGATTCTGAGCGGAGACGGTTTATCTGAGATATATTATAGATTATTAAAAAATTTCAAATCTTAGATTTAAAATGTTACTCAAATGTTTTGAAAATTTTACCATGTTTAGGTAAGGCTGATATAAGTAAACAACCCAAATTTCAAGTTTTTACGAATGTTTTTAACTGAATTACAACAAAAAACTCCCAAAATTAAAAAATTCTATAAATAGCTCAAAAATGGCTACAATTTTCCGAACTTTAAACCGTAAGGAACAAAACAAAATATAACATATAAGATCTCTTGTCATTTTTCATTTAAAGCAATATTTCTGGTAAAAACGTCGTCCGTAATTATTTAGTATTATAAAATCGTGAAATCGTACATTTTTTCTCATTTAACCGCTTTTATTTCGAGTACCGTTTCGAAAATCAAAAAATGACCTCGTTAATGTACCAGCTCCAGAACATAAACTTTCAGAAAAAATGCTACATTTGATACTTTTGAGGAAGTTTAGAGGGAGAAAAAGTGTTTACAGAATAAAAAAGAAATAAACATTATTGTAAAACCAATACATTTCTCGCTCCGCTCAGAATCTAAAATAGTCACAAATTAAGTTATAAAATATTAGTTTGGAGTTATTTGGCATACAATTTAATTTTAAGATTGTTACGATATTAATTTAATTACAGAGGTATAGGTAATCATAAACCATAATATATTTTTTGAAAATCTATATTGCATAGATCAGAAGTCTCAAGGAAATAACATATATCAATAATGACGTCCAATTAAATTAATAATTAAAAAAATAAAAACACTTTTTGTCTCTCGAGAAAAAGACACATAAAAAAAATCAAGTACGTGTTTCATTAAAACTACATTAGTCCAATTGGCGCTAAGCCACACATCATTTGGTCTTGCACCGATTTTTATATAAGTAATCTAGCGCGGCGTCAAGTAAATATAATATGAAGTGACATAGTTTTTGAATGTTATTTTACAGATTAATTAACAATGTAGAGTACGATAAATTCACGAGTAAAACAAATTCCGGTAATTAAATGGTTGAAATAATAATAATGGAAAAAATAGAAATAGAAAATGAATAGAAGTTACCTACCTAATTGAAATGAATTCAGACATGAATTGTTTAGTATAATATTACAATATAATAGGTTGTACCTATTATGTTATATTTTAAATAGGTACCTACATAATAATAAAAAAAAAAATATTGTACAGCAGTTTCAGTTTTGAACTTATTAATGATACATTTTTAATGTTAACATTTATTATATTGTTGCAATCATGATTACTCCGGAAGTTATAATTAAAATCATTTAATTACTTAAAACCAAAAAAGCATCATGCGAATGTATAGGTAACTTTATTTCTTATCGTCATTGCAAAAACAAAACTGTATTATAGTAATTGAATACTTAGAAAATAAATTATATAAATCATCCAATATAATAACTAATCAATTGACTCCGTATAAGTCACTTTAAAATGACCCATGGACATCTCATGCGAAGAAAAGAACACACACTGTGCCAAACCTGCGGAGAACATCTCACAGTCTAACATCTCCTCATACACCGTTGAAGTCACATAGAAACCTAGGAATAGCCTAGCAATTGCAGATAACTTTTTTTTAAACTCTTAATCCAATTGAAGAATTGGACTAAGAAAAAGATTATTTTATTTCTAAAATATATTCATGTGTATAACTCAATCTAAATAATTTAATGTACTCATTAATATGTATGGTAATATTATTATTTACCAAGCTAATAACCTTAGTTGTTGATGATGTGCCAATAAAAAAAAAAAAAATTGATAAATAAATAACAGCTGATATTTCCATTTATAAGAGAAAATGAAAATGAATTAAAAAGTTTTGTGTTTTATATTCTTTATTCGGTATCTGTATTTAATACCTATTACTAAATAATCCTTTTTGTTATGTGTGTAATACTACATTTTAATGTTTGAATGCGAATTGAATTCTTATAAAATATTTTACAGATTTATAAATACAACCTGATGGCTGATTGATATCATGAAAACATAATTATAGTTGTGTTAGGTAGATAGGTACTGTATATTATTTCAAACACACGTTATTTAACAAATTTGATCGTAAAAAGAAAATCTCCTCGATGCATGAGACAACGGTGTCAAATGATTTAACATGCATTTAAAGAAATACATTTGTAGAAGCAATAAATTCATTAGTTACTACCAAAGTGGTCGACCGGAAATACGGTGAACGTTATTGTTTGATGTAAAGACACGTGACTCTTATTATTTCTTCATTCCTCCGGGTAGTGATAGTGATATGTGTGACAGGTATTATGCACGGTCGTTGGACGTTATTTTATTAATGATGAGAACGTGCTAGAAGAAATCGCAAAAGTCTATATATATATATTAAATATATAAATGTCAAGGGTGTCTGTACAACTATAAGTATAATATTTTTAAAAGTCGACATGGGCTAAACAAAACAACAGCATCACCACAATGAACACTCGTACATTATGCTTAGTATTAGAAAATATTTTGTGTCTAGATCGGTTGGTCCAATACCCATTGCCCTTTATTCACACACATATAGAAACCCCTAATAATTTATATTATGTACAGGGTTGCTCAAGTTGTATTGTGTAATTTTTTAGAATAATCGTTTTACCGATTAATGGAATTGAAAACTTATTTATGTTTTTGAATTATTGAGAGAACTTTTAATAGTTCAATATTTATTAAATTACATTTTGAACGGCAATATTAAATAAAGCTAACACGTGAATCGCCATTAAAAATTCAGCAATCGCAAAATAAATATAGCGGGTTTTCGATTCTACTTCACTGACATAACATGAAACAGCGCGCTCTCAAAGTTTGTAACCAATGTCGGATCCAGTGGGAGAGGCTGATCGCCC